TCACTCGAGTGGAGATGTTGGAGATTATAGAGGTACAGAAAATCGGTTTATTTGCATGAAACCAATGCCAGTGGATGAATCGGTTTAAAAAAAATAACAAAATATATACATATAAAATAATAAATAAATATATACAATTAATAAAAATTGCATAATGCTTAACAAGGTTGGAGATTCGTCCTAATTTTATTCTATTATGCCTTTAATTTCAATAAATTGGAAAAACTATTTGTATGATCATATCTAATAGTTCTCATAACAAAATAAAATGCCTCTAATGCTGTAATAAAGGTGAAGCTGATTTATTTTCTACTTATTTTATACATGTCTGCAATTTCTGCAATCAAAATTTAGGACATGTCCAAACAGAAGCCCTGTGATTTTGATATGAAAGCATAAATAAATACAAAAAATGAAAACATGTCAGAATGAATAAAAAGGTTGGAGATTCATCCTAAATTAGTGTGTTTATTTGCAATAGATTGAAGAAAATTATTTGCATGATAATATCTAATAGTTCTCAAAACAAAATAAAATGCCTCCAATGCTTTGAAGCTGATTTATATATGTATTAGTACATATATACAGAGAACAGAGACGCTGTGAATTTTGATATTTGAGCAATAAATATTAAATAATGAATACAATTAATAAAAATATGTCAGAATATTTTTTAACTAATTTTGGCCGATAGCCGATGCCGATACCAATATATTTCCTTTTGTTTGGATACAACACCAAGTCTCTCCTGTACAGAGATTATAAACTAATTATTTTTAATTTTGGTTAGCTTTTAACAAAAACTTACTTTTGAGAATGAAATAAACAATGAAGTTATTTTATAATGAGAGTACATTGAAAGCTTTGAAAATAACTATAAAGCAACTATAAAGCAATCCTTAATATTTTATTTGAATATTTAACATTTGTAGTTTTCATAATCTGTTTAAAAAAAAAACATATTACACATTAATGGATAAATCTGTATATGTATATATATGTAATATATAAATTATTTAATTTACAAGTGTCTTGTTTGTGATTTTTATTCATGTAAGCTATACCTTCTGACCTTTAAATCAAACCATACTCGTGTTTTTATGACATCAATTACTGCTTCATTTAATCAGAAACACAATCTTAATGTTATTTGTGTATTTTACTTTCATTTTATTACAAGTAGGCCAACAGCGCCCCCTAAGTAAATAAAAGCCTTGCCGGACGGGCATTAGGGCCCGGGGGAGGCGTTGCATGCACTAGTGACTGCTGACTCTATTGCACACCGGACACGCCATTCTGAACGTGCATTCTCAAATTAAATGCTCAAAACAGTGAATCTAATCATCATTCAGGAAAAAGTTTGCGTCAAGAATGACCACACTGCTGACGTGATCTTATCGCTATTGCACCCTGAGCACATGTGAGTTACTCATCTTATTGGCAAGGCATATCGGCATAATTTTTCATATCGGCCAGATTCCGATATTTGCATTTTAAGCCATTATCGGCCGATTCCGATACCGTTCCGATAATTTCGTGCATCCCTAATTATATCTAATAGTTCTCTTAACACAAAAGGCTACAAATGCTTTAAGGGTGAAGCTGATTAATTTTCTACTCATTTTATTTATTGCAATTTTGCAACTGCTATTTTATTATTTATTTTAGGACGTCTAAACAGAGACACTGTAATTTTGATATTTGAGCAATAAATATGAAATAAATAAATACAATAAATAAAAATATGTCAGAATGAGTAACAAGGTTGCAGATTCCTCCTTATTTAGCACTTTTATTTATTGATTATTTTAGTTTGATATCTAATTGTTTAAAGGTGAGGTGTGTGACGTCTGCACCACTAGTGGCATCGAACAGAATTGCGATCTGTATGTTTGAATGACTCAACGGGCCTGGACATAATTTGCTTGGTGATGCTAGTGGCGCAGAAATCAGACACTTCAACTTCATTTAAAATTAACATGTATCATATTTATGGAAAGTGCCAATGGCAAAATGGGGAAAAAAAAATTAGAATTTCAGTGAGAATACTGGCAATCTTAACGCCTCCTCGTGTCATTAAAGCCGAGTCTTTTCTCTTCTTTGTGTGAAGGCTATTTATAAAATGGTGGGCACCGTGATAATGATGAAGATGAACGAGGACGGTCTGACACCAGAGCAGAGAGTGGATCGGATCTTCAGCAAGATGGATAAAAACAACGACGACCAGATCTCACTAGACGAGTTCAAAGAAGCCGCCAAGAGCGACCCGTCCATCGTACTGCTCTTGCAGTGCGACATGCAGAAGTGAGGCTGCGCATGCTAGCATGCTCCGGACTGAGCCAGTTATCCGTTTCCGCTCTCATTTCCACAAGAGTAACATGTTTGGACTACTTTTAAATGAACGTTCTTCTTGTGATCGAACAACTAGTATGCATGAGAATGTTAACTGCTAAAGAGTTTAGAGTATATCCGTTTAATTTCCAACATGCAACAATGTGAGACGTGTAAATCAAACGAGTCACGCATCCATCGTCAGTGAAGTGCTCCGCCGTATTTCATTTCTAGCCGCAATACTTCCGATCACACACACTACGTTTACTGCTGTACTTCACGCAGTAGTATGGGAACCGAAACGCATCACACTAAATGTTACGATGAAATGTTGAACTTCAATACTCGAAATTAAGGAGGGCGGAGAGGTTTATGCAGCCCTCCTTCCAAATGTGCTTGTACTTAAGAATATAAATGTAAGTTATTTGCATGCATGTCCTAAGTGTAAAAACCTACTCTCTCTTCATTTCGGCAACCTTGACGAATAATACAAGGAAGGCCTTATATAAATGATAGTATCAATAACAATACTAATGTGTGAGATTTACATTTGTTACTCATCTATCCATTAGATGTCCTCCCTCGGGTGCATGTTTCCTCTTAAAGACGTACGATGTGTGTGGTAAAAGCTTTCTGTAAGGCACACGTTCCAGCCCCGCCACCATCATTATTTGCATCTGCTGGTTTCACCATATTTTGCACTGACACGAGAACGTAATAGCCAGTATAACCAGTCTAAAACCAACGTTTCTTTTTCTTAATGTTAAAAGACCACCGCTGACATTGTTCTTATTGTGTTACACTTTTTTTACTTTGCGCAGTATCATCGTCATATGCATGAATGGTTGCCTGTGAATTCGTTTTAGTAATAATACAGAAAGGGCAATATAACATTTTAAGATAATTTCCCCTGGAGGGTGTTTAGTAATGGATCCGCTTCCCCTGGTATTATAACAAAACCTTATCCTAAATGGGTTTGGTACACGTTTACTCTTAGTGTGCTGCATTTTCATTCAACCGTTTTTTGTAAAACAGCATTTCTACTCCAATACCCATGGTTTTTAGCTGCATCCCTCAGAAGCAACAATTACTTCTGGTACCCTAGTTATTTTATTCTGTACATTTTGTAACCTCCGTATGTTATGTTCTCCTGAGACTTAAAAAATATGGCATCCCAGATCTCCCGCTTTCACATCCTGTGACACTCAGGATGGCGTCAATTGGAGGAGAACAGGCACATCTTTGTAAAATGCAACTGCCCAATAAATAGTGTATATGTTTGCCCTGTAAATATTTGTACCTAATACGGTGAAGCCAAATTGAAGCAGTCATTTAATTGTGTGATATGAGGTTTGTGTTTTATTTGTGGCATGTCTTCAACTCGGTATGTAACAGTTGCACTGACGACATTGTGATTAAAATCAATAAACTATCTATGGGTTGTTTTCAGAACGCAGGTGCTTGGTCGTGTGTGAGCACAAATCAGATGGTTAACAAGATCTAGGAACAGCATTGTGGTTTATTACAGAGGATGCTGGTTTAAACTGACAAATACTAACTCTGAACATACTGAAACTGTCATGAGCAGGTGCTAATGGTTGGAAACTGAAAAAGGAATATTTTACCAAAAATGAAAAGTCACTCACCCTCGGGACATCCAAGATGTAGATGAGTTTGTTTCATCAGAACAGATTTGGTTAAATGTAGCACTGCATCACTTGCTCACCAATGGATGCTCTGCAGTGAATGGGTGCCGTCAGAATGAGAGTCCAAACAGCTGATAAAAACATCACAATAATCCACAAGTAATCCACACCACTCCAGTCCATCAGTTAATGTCTTGTGAAGTGAAAAGCTGTGTGCTTGTAATAAATGAGTCCATCATTAAGGTGTTTTAGGTTCAAACCCGTCACTTCTGGTCAAAATACGAGTCCATAATCCATAATAATGCTTCCTCCAGTGAAAAAGTCCATCCCCTGTTGTCCTCTCATGTCAAAATCCACCCACATATTTGTTTAGAACTGTTTGGGCTTTTAAATTGTGCTTGATCTGTGCATATTTCTCTCCTGATTAAGACGAAACAACTTTTTTACTAAAGAAAGCATTATTACAGTATGTAAAGAGGACTCGTATTTTAGCTGAAGCTAAGTTTGAAGTTAAAAACCTCTTAATAACGTATTTGTTTCTTAAAAACACACAGCTTTTCACTTTGCAACTGTTAACTGATGGACTGGAGTGGTGTGGATTACTTGTGGATTATTGTGATGTTTTTATCAGCTGTTTGGACTCATTCTGACGGCACCCATTCACTGCAGAGCATCCATTGGTGAGCAAGTGATGCAATGCTACATTTCTCCAAATCTGTTCTGATGAACAAACAAACTCATCTACATATTGGATGGCCTGAAGGAGAGTACACTTCCAGCAAATTTTCATTTTTGGGTTAACTATTCCTTGAGCCTCCTTCTTTTTTTTTCATAAAAGACCAGATGAACTTTGGATGAAATGGCGTGGACTTCACTTCACAATCACACAAATTATGCGAACGCTTTGCAGAGGAACTAGAACCATAAAACTTGTTTAAAAATAAATAAAAGCAAACACATAAACTGTACAAACATATAAACTTTACACACTTTCAGTACAGTCTCTCCAGGCAATGTCTGTACCTAACGCACATCTCACACCTCCTCCGCTTCTCTCTCTGGATCCTGAAGCTGGTGGATCGTAATAAGGGCACTTTTAGGCAGATGGCTGAAAGATACCGCAAAGAAACATTAACATTTATATACAAAAACATTATATTAACTCTATAATTCAGTGCTGTGCAAGGAGACAGTGTTTTGGATCTCTAATTGACTTAACACCTTAACAAATGAGACCCTGGGCAAAAATCGACATTTCAAAGAAAATGTTCTCATTATGGGACTCAAATCAAATTATGCATTTGATTACCTAATGACTGCAAACTAATTAACTAAGCACTAGTTCAGCAAGCCATTAAGAAACCTGCTTTAGGGTTTGTGGTCTACAAACTGTTTGCATTTCCTGCCTGAATAACTGCGATTATGAAGACAGGAAAAGCTGATAATGAATGAACACTGTTACTCAGATACATATAGCATCTCACAAAAACTTTCAAGAATCGGTCATATTTCAGCACTGAATCACAAATATATATATATGATAACTTTTGTTGTACTGAATTTAAATTTATGTAGATTTGCATTAAAAAAAAGAAAGGAAATCTACAGTATGTGTCCAGAAAGGATGGTTTTATTACTGTATTATATGAATGAAAATCTGATGAAAAATATCTTTAATTTTTGACAAACTGCAGCCTCTGATGGTCCTAAAAACAAGCATCATCCATTAAAGTCTTTTTGGTATGATGATATTCATACTGAAGTTCTCATTTTTAAACACCCATGATTTGTACCTGTCTTAAACTCTCTTTAATGGGTTTGAATTCATTTAAAGAATTGTGTAACTTTCAAACAAAGATTAGAAAGCTGCGGATGGAGAAGATGATTTTCATTAACTTTTCATGGGGTGTAATACCAACCAGACATGTTTTGGAGTGAGATTCACCTTATAATGCTTAATAACTTTTATTTACCTGGTGGACTGAGGGGTGATGAAGATGAACTGTCGCACATGCTGACGTTCTGAAAGTGCCACAAGCATGTTCATTGAAATGCTGCGATTATGCATGTCCTTAAAAATACAAAAGAGCTTTATTAAACATATGAAATACTTACATGTCAAATAATAAAGGGGTCATTGGATGCCCATTTTCCACAAGTTGATATGATTCTTTAGGGTCTTAATGAAAAGTCTGTAACATAGTTTGGTTAAAATTTCTCAATGGTAGTGTAAAAAACACCTTTTTTTACCCTGTCAAAAACAGCTCTTTTCAGATCAAGCCGTTTTGTAGCATTTTCCTTTAAATGTTAATGAGCTCTGCTGACCCCGCCCCTCTCTTCCGAGCCGCTCTCTGAGGGACGGTTTACTTTAGCCGCATTTATCGTAAAACTTGCTAATTAGCACATTATTAGGAAAGGCGATTTGCAAAGATTCATTAAAAAAACCTTATACTCGCTTCTTTCTGTAGGTGAAGCTGGATCACGAATGATTCGCGCGAATATAGATGCATTTATGTAGATCGGGGGCTCATTCTCTTCAAAAAACAAACATAACCCACTGCGTCTTCAGCGGCTCAGATGTCGGGAGTAAAGAACGACTGCTATGTTCATTATTACATCCAACAACAGAACACCTCAATCGCTTAGGAGTCATTCTTGTCTACATCTGCTCCAGCGTGAAACAATGGCGGACTGATCTGATGACAGCTCACTCAGGGCGGGTCTAAGGTAAGAAACGCCACTGTCAATCAAACTATCGTGGGAGGGGCCTGT